TAGTGATTTGGATTGAGAAACTTGATGATCACTGATCAACTGAAAAGACGGGTCCCTGGAGAAATAAGAGATCATTTCGTGGACAGCTGGTGCAAGTTTAAAACCCCTGGTGATTTGGCTGACACACTTGATGAGTATGAAAATGCGAGAACAAGTTCAAAGAAAGTAACTACAACTGACATAAAACCCAGATCAGCAAACCATTTTAAGCCAGATATCAGAGAAACTAATTTCAAATTTAGATCAGAATCTGATCAAACTGGTGCAAGATTTAGAACACCAAATACTCTAAGAGATTCTGGAACTAAATTTCGTAGACCCATTTGCTTTACCTGTGGAAAAATAGGACATACTTCTAGATTCTGTCCCAAAAATACAAAAAAGCAACTTAGACCTGGCGCTAGGGCCAATCTTGTGAAAACTGACGAACCGGAAAAGAACTCATCTAAAGAAGTCGTGACAGCCAAAGTATCAGTCCCAGTTTTAACTCCAATAGAACTCAAGGAATGACTTGAAGGTTGTGAATATTAAGTGTGGAAGCAAAACTCTGAGAGCAATTGTAGACACTGGAGCCCAGATTTCAGTGATACGTAAAGACTTGATTGATTTAGACTGTGGGGAAGGTGAAGGTACTATTCAAATCGTTTCTGCATTTGATGAAAGTGAGATAGCTGCATTGAAATTGTTCAGTCTTAAAATAGATGATAATATGCACAGTTCCATGCTTATTACTTGTGCAGTATCTAAGAAACTCGTCAACGACATGACTTGTAGTAGTGCCTATGAACTCTTATAACGAAATATCCAATTGTATAATTTCCATCAGGGCATTTCTAAAATTGGACACTCTGTCGACAAGAAGGACGAATCAACTCATGAAAATTCTGAAAAGTACGAAGTTGGACTTATTACCCATAGATCTATATCTTGTCAGACTCAGGAAACGGAAAATAATGATAAAGTCGAGAATTATGATTTAGGCGACAATCTTAGTAATCGTAATAAAAATCGTAAAGATTTCATCCGTCTACAAGAAGAAGACAGCAGCCTTAAAGAAGCATGGGAATTTGGAAAGAAAAAGAAAAATTCATTTAGTATTGAGAATGGAATTTTGACACATTCTGAATGGGTTTGTGGAGAACTCATCACACAAGTAGTATTACCTGAACACAAGCGCAGAGAGGTATTGCGAATGGCCCATGATGTCTCTTTATCAGGTCATCTGGGGGAAAAGAAAAGAAAACAGAGGATTAAATATTTCTTTCATTGACCCACTTTGAAAACTGATGTAAAAAGCTATTGCGAGAGCTGTAAGGAATGTCAAGTAAGACGGACTGTAGCATATAGAGATCGTGTACCCATACAGCCAATTGTTCGTCCTGAAAATCCTTTCGATGTTTGGAGTGTTGATTGTATAGGACCTCTGGAGCCAAAATCCAAAAAAGTTCTCACTTATATTATTTGTGCGGTTGATCTTTGCACAAGATGGGCCGAGGCAATTCCTGTCAAAAACATTAAAGCGAAAACAACGTGCGAAGTTCTCATGAAAATATTCACACAATCAGGGTTTCCAAAAATCATTTGTACAGACCAAAGGACAAATTTTACTGCCGAGTTAACAGAAGCGTTTGCTAACATTTTGAGAATATCTCCCAGGGTTTGCTACTCCCGGACACCCTGAAAGTATGGGAGCCGTGGAACGTTGGAATCGGACTTTAAAAGACATGTTAAATAGGAGCATCCAAGAAAATGGCAGTGATTGGGACTTACACCTCCAATATCTGATGTTTGCTTATAGAGAAGTACCACACAATACCACTGGTGTTTCACCATATCAGCTAGTGTATGGATGATTACCCAATGGTCCTTTGAAAGTTATGAAGGATGTTTGGACGGGTGAAGCGGAAATTCCAACTGGTGTTTCAAAATCTGATGAAAAATACCTTGAAGATTTAACAGAAAAAGTAAGTCAAGCGCATGATTTTGCGAGAAAAAATCTGGGAAAACTCAAGCTGAATATTGTAATAGATATAATTCGAGGTCAAAGGAAAAGCAGTTTAAAATTGTAGATCAGGTCTTGATCCTCATTCCCTCATCATCTCATAAACTGCTGAAAACGTGGATGGGTCCAGCAACGATTGTTAAGTTGCCAAGACAACTCATTGCACGGGTAAAAATGGAAGACGGAAGCACCAGAGAACTACCTTTTAACAAACTCCGACCGTATGTAGCGAGAGTTGGTCAAATTGGTTTGATTTTTGACCAAGATCAAGAATTTGGAGATTTGCATTATGCACCTATCGACATTATAAAATTGACTAAAGATGATATTAAGAAACATGTACTTAAAAATTCTGTAAATTTAAATTATTCGCAAAAACAGAAGCTAGTTAACATACCGCAATCTTTTGCAGAAGTTTTTGATTCCATCCCGGGATTAGCAAATGTGAATGGACATTGACTGTCTGTAACTCCGGATTTAATTCCGAAAAAAATGAAACCATATCGAATACCCATTGCTCTACAAGAGGAGGTAGATCGACAAATTCAAGAACTACTTCGGCTAGGACTGATAGAACCGATTGAAAGTGATTGTGGTCATCCCATCGCATGCGTATCCAAGAAAGATGGTAGCGTCAGACTGTGCGTCGATTACAGATTGCTAAATAGTTTTACAGTTACTGATGCCTATCCTATGCAAAATGCCAGAGATCTCTTGTTTGAAATTGGTAAGACAAATTACATAAGCGTACTGGACTTGACTAAGTGTTATTGGCAAATCCCTATGAAGAAGGAAGCTAAACATCTTACTGCATTTGTAACTCATTCTGGACATTACGAATGGAAGGTGCTACCCTTCGATATGAAAAACGCTGGAAATACTTTTCAAAAATCGATGGACAAAGCCCTGTTGCCTCATCGGAAATACTGTAGATTATATATTGACGATGTTGCAATATTTTCCGACACTTGGGAGGATCACCTCTATCATTTTGACGAAGTGTTCAGAACCTTAAACGAAGTAGGGCTAAGAGTGAATCTTAAAAAATGTGACTTTGGAAAAAGCTCTTTGAAATTTTTAGGTCATATTATCGGATCCGGACAACATTCCCCGAAAAGGTGGAATCAATACGAAAATTAAGCCGACCATCCACTATGAAGGAAGTCAAAAGTCTTCTTTGTTTGGCTAGCTACTACAGAGATTATATTCCGAACTTTTCAGATATAATGCTACCTCTGACCAACCTTACAAAGAAAAACATTCCAAACAACATTCCTTGGGACGACTCAGCTGAACAATCGTTTTCTAAGATCAAAGAGATATTAATTGAAATGCCTTCCTTGTACACTCCCAATATGGAACGACCACTTCAACTTTTTACTGATGCTAGTGCAACTGCAGTAGGAGCCTGTTTATCACAAACTGATAAACATGGGAAAGAAATGCCAATTGCATTCTTCAGCAAAAAATTATCGGAAAGCGAAAAGAAATGGTCCACTATAGAACGAGAGGCGTTTTCAGTGTTGGAAGCACTAAAACGCTTCGACAAATAGTTTTTCCTTAGATTGTGATTTTATTTACTACTTATTTAAATACATCAACATACCATGACATCAAAAGTGTGCGATATTTTTATCACTTTAACAATTGCAGTCTGAAACAAAAGGTCTTATAAAATTCTACAATTTCTCTCAACGATCTACATTTCCGTTTTTTTTTATTTGTTTATTTTCTTATATCAATTAATTTATTACTTATTTCTGTCTTCAGAAAAAATTATCTTCCATTTGGCAAAATCATAAAATTGCTTCAAAACTCCTTCGCTCTTTTTAAACTAGAAATAATACCGAAAAATATAATATCGAAAAAATATGCCGGAATTGAATTGTTTTCCCATACCATGTTATCTGGCCTTTTTTTAATCTGTTTTAATTTTATTTTATAAATAATTTGATCTATGCTTTATCCATTTTTCCAATTTTCCATAGTAAATAAATAAAAATTATCAATCCTCATTAATAAAAAAGGACTCAATCATCGACCTCGGAACAAAAATTTCTAAAAATCATTTTATCGAATGATATCAATGAAAAATGTAAACATGCGGAAATAAGGCATCCTCAAACCAAAAAACATTTTTAGGAGAATGCAAAAATAAAAGAAATACAAAATAGCGTATTATTAGACATAATATTTTTATACAATAAGAAACATTAATTTAAAGGAGTTTTATAACCTTCGTTGAACAGCCGATACAATTTTGGACTTACGACGGCTAATTACGTAACCTTGTCATTTTAAGACCAATCCAGAAGACAAGGGGACTCTTCAATCACGTGCTGGGCCTTCGTGGAGGGCTTTTTGATAGAATGAACCCGCATTTGCGTTGAATGGCGAGGAAAGTCGCGAAAACCTCCCATGGATAGCCAGACGGCAAGGGAATTCTAAGCCATGATCTGTTTATCACTGAGGATATTTTACGTCAGCACTGTGATCGGTGCGAGCTGGATGCGGAATTCGTATCGACCAGCCATCGCTGGGATTGGAACCTGGTTCACCTCTGGAAGGCAAACGCTCTAGCCCCTGAACCATCACGGATCGATTTAAAAGGATTTTTTTTTATAATTTTATAACCGTAAGTGAAACGCGGACAGATTTTTTTTTTAGTTTACGACAGCTAATTTTGAACTTAGTAGCCTTGTAATTTTGAACCCAATCCATGAAATTTTAAACAACTAATTTAGAATAACGAGAATTTACCTTTTATCTAAATATTAACTAAAGAAAATGTTCGGAATATGCTCATTTTTGAGATACCTGTTTTTAATACGATTTTTAAAATGCGTCACTTCTATTAAATACATTAAAACGTGTTCTTTCTGCCTTTATATAACTCAAATGTCATCTTAAAAATAAATTTAAAAAATTCTCACAAATCAGTATTTATCTGTCGAGTTTTCAATAAGACTATAAAAATTTCAAAAAATTCACTACTTACTATAAATATAAAGAAGCAAACAAATTTTCTTCAAAGGACAACAAGTGCTATATTACAAAACATTCAAGCTCAATGACCTTTTTCCACTGCTATTGGTGGAATTTAATTCAGGAAGTATAAATTTCATTTTGTTCCTCTCAAAATACTAAAGTAGAACAAATTTCCGGGCACAGCTTTTACGAAATAAGACTCAATTCTATCTATATTTTTTACTCAATTCTTTTTGCGTACTATTCATTGAAAATCTTTAATTTGCATCCTATTTTATTACTTTCCATTCAATAATTTCTTTTCACCCAAAGATTTATTTCTTTAAATAACATGTTCACCTGATATGTTATTATTTTCCATTCAATGATTTCTCTACACATAAAGAACTTAATTCTTTAAATAACATGCTCACCTGATATGTTTTTATTTCCATTCAATGATTTCTCTACACATAAAGAACTTAATTCCTTAAATAACATGTTTACCGGATATGTCATTATTTTCCATTCAATGATTTCTCTACACATAAGGAACTTAATTCTTTAAATAACATGTTTACCGTATATGTTATTATTTTCCATTCAATGATTTCTCTACACATAAAGAACTTAATTTTCTAAATAACATGTTTACCGGATATGTAATTATTTTCCATTCAATGATTTCTCTACACATAAGGAACTTAATTCTTTAAATAACATGTTTACCGTATATGTTATTATTTTCCATTCAGTGATTTCTCTACACATAAATAACTTAATTCTTTAAATAACTTGTTTACCGGATATGTTATTATAAATGATTTTTGTAGAAAAAGAAAATGGATGCCAGAAAAAAAGAAAGTTGTGTTCGAGTTGAAGGAATTTAGGAAGTAAAATCATGTGATACTAAATTATGGAGTACAAGTCATGTTGGTACAGATATGGAAGAAACAATGGAAATTGATTTGAATGAATTCAGCGAAAGTTTGTCGGAGAATGTTGGCGATGACTAAGCCTTCAGTCACACAAAAAATATTTTCAAGTAAAAAGGAATCGAGTAGTACTTAAATATTAAATAGAAACTAAAGTGGTTAACCTATCGTATAGGAAACGAAGAGTTGCATTCAAAAATCTAAACGCATCAAACTCTTTCATAAGAATAAAGTCTTTGGAAGGAGTGGAGGTGATAAAAAAAAAGAAGTGATGACAAAAATTTAATGCCAAAAAGGAAAAGAAAAGAGTACTTTGATCGAATTAGTCTTACGTAAAGAGTTATGCTAGAAGATTCACCAAATATTCTTGATAGTAAACTTATTGATACACGATTGAAACTAAACCAGAAACGAGATTTCGAGAGAAGTTTTTGAGGGTAAAAGTAAAGATGAAAATTTTAAGAGCCAAATGTAATTTTGATCATAAGAGAACAAGCATAAGTGAAAAATATATCTGCCATCTTGGCAAAAAGTAGAGTAATAAAGTGAGATTGAAAGAAAAGTTGATACTGTACTAGGCAGAATTAGTAAAACTTTCCAGAAGATGAATCAATGGAACTGGAAATTTAGGAAAGGAATTGTAGTGTTTAGAAACGAAAAATTGGAGATAATTGGTGAATTTTGGGTTTGAAAGTTTAGAAAGAAATGGATTAGAACAAAAAATATAGACCGGATTAAGATACAGTATACTCTCGATATCTCGAAAACCTTGTTACATCAAAAAAATACTTTTCCCCTTACCTTTCCACCTAATATTAATTTTAATTCCTATCTCGAGGATTTTCTTGTCAAAACCCTGTTGTTTCGAATAATGTTCGAAGTAAAAAAATGACTTTTTTCTTGAAAAATTATCGCGTACCACCAGTTAGCATTATTGCCTCCTAAGAACAAATGACTCCCACGTATTGAAACGTTTCATGAAATGCTCCGAGAACATGGAAAATGATGATTTGGCAGCTATTTTTCGAATAGAAAAACTGATTGATGAGCAATTTCGAAAACGATATCGACAAGTTTTGATCTACCATTGTATTGATATCGATATCGACATAGTTTTTCTTACATAAACTCTATTAAAATCATTTTGACTGCTTTTTAATTTCAATTAGAAAAACAATGATGACACAATTTCTAAGAATTTTGGGACTTTCTGTACAACATATAATTTTTGTTTTAGCAATATTTACTAATAACTTGTTATATTACTGTATCGGCATAGGTTCTTAGAGTGAAAAACATAATAATTAGTCACTACATTTTTAAAAAAATCAATGCATTACAATTTTTTTTTACTGCAACCTTAAAAACATTTTTTAGCATCAGTTGTACTGTTTCCGTCCTACACAAAGTTGTTTGAAAAGATATTTTTTATTTATCGATTCCAAAGTTATATGATTTAGGGCAGTGTTCCCCAACATTTTTATCACCGCGGACTTGTCAACGTTTGATAATTTTACAACTTCCCACTGGGAGGGGGAAGGACGCTGATTGTTTATATTTTAGATTATCTTGATTTATTAATTTTAATTTAATTGTATTTGAACATGCCTTCAAAATAAAATGCAGTGACACCAAAAAATAAATATAAAGTGATTTAACATTTAAACACACTAGAACGTTAAATCAATGAGAACCCTGAGCTTGTTTCTTTGCAATGAGACGGTTCCATCTGGGGGTAATCGGAGACAATGATACATTACAAACATTAAAAAATTTATGTCACTACCTTCGGGGGCCACTCTTTTTAAATAAATAAAATTTTAATGGAACACAGATATTTTTAATTTGGGGTTTAAACCTAGGAATTTAAATTCCGTTTCAATGGAATGGGCGGCCCGGTACCATTTGATCAACGGACCGGTACCGGTCCGCGGACCGGGGGTTGGGGAACACTG